GGAATAGCGTTCGCAAATTTCGTGAGTTGGGGGATTGTGGGGGGTTGGCGAGCAATCACAAATTTCGTAGATATAGAGGGGGGGGGGAGCATTTCGCCTTACGTGGGGGGAAATCCAGGTGGCGAGCTGGATAAAAAAAATGCTGATCCAGCCTAGATATTTTCCCCCCATTTCCGGCAATGCCCGCCGTTGCGTATATCGAGCGTAACAAAGGAAGCACAGGGCGAACACGAACGTGTTCGCCCTGAACACGTTCGTGTTCGCCTTAGCATGCCAGATGTTCGCCCTCACAGGCGAACATCGAACACCCTTTTTTGTAAAATGTGTTCGGCGAACCAAACACTGTTCGGTTCGCCGAACGGCAGTGTTCGAGCTGGGGCGAACGCGAACACGTTCGTGTTCGCCCCTTGCTCATCCCTAGCAGGAAGTGCTGAAGCAGCATCGCGGGACTTTTGCGTACACGTTGCAGGAGCTGGAAAGTGTGCCACGCATGAGATGAAGATCGAGCTCACCACGGAAGTTCCTATATATCAACGGAGACGACGGATGAGCCCGGGGGATCTAGACATCTGTACGGAGAAATGCAGTGAGCTGTTGGAAGCAGGACTGATCCAGCGGTCCGAAAGTGACTACGCCGCGGCTACGGTAGTACCATCACGGAAGGATCTGACGGGGGCAGTCTCCGCGCGGAGGATGTGCGGGGACTATCGGAGCCTGAACAAGGTCACGGTGGCAGATAGGTATCCCATGCAGTCAGCAGAAGAAATCTTTGATAAGCTGCAAGGGGCAAAGGTTTTCTCCACACTGGATCTACGGCAGGGTTTTAATCAGATTCCCATCCGAGCCACCGATCGCAAGAAGACGGCCTTCCATGGACCAGACGGCCCGTACGAGTGGCGCTTCATGCCTTTCGGAATGAAAAATGCGCCCGCCTTGTTCCAACGGGTCATGGACACGACTCTGCGCGGAGTGCCGGCGGCGGCATGTTACATTGACGACGTGGTGGTTTTTAGTCCGGACGCGGCACAACATGTGAAGGACGTGCAAGCAACGCTGGACGCCATTCGAGCAGCAGGCCTCACGTGTCACCCGAAGAAGTGCAGCTTCGGGAATACCGGAGTGAAGTACCTGGGTTTTGAAGTTCAAGGAGGGCAGCTGGGGATTCAGCAAGCGAAGGTGGAGGTCCTGGATAGGGTGCCGCAGCCGAAGGATAGGAGCACGTTGAGGGCCGTGCTCGGATTCCTCAATTACTACCGGAAGTTCATTCCGAACTTCAGTAAGACCGCCGCGGCCTTGAATCGACTGCTGAGGGAAGACCAGAAGTGGGAATGGGGAGAAGCGGAGCAAGGGGCATTACAGGCGCTGCTGAGAGCCGTGAAAACAGCTACGGTGCTGACGCTGCCAAGTACCGAGGATCCATTTGTGCTGTACACGGACTGGAGCAGCGCGGGTATGGGGGCGATCTTGTGTCAGAAGCGGGAAGGAGAAGAGAAGGTAGTCGCCTTCGCCAGCCGGAGCTGCAACCCAGCCGAGGCTAACTACAGCTCGTACGAGGGAGGCAGTTCGAGCTAGTGACAGATCACCAACTACTAACTTGGCTGATGACCAACCAAGGGCTAACAGGGAGGAACGCGCGCTGGGCCATGCGGTTACAAGAATATGATTTCACCATCCGACACCGGGCAGGCAAAACGATGCAACACGTAGATGGGCTGTCACGGAACCCTCCATCGCCTCGCCCCACAGCTTGCCTAGTGGCACTAGCGAGAGAATTAGATGCCGAAGGGGCCATCCGAGGAAAAGGGACGGGGCCTGCGGATGTCTGGGAAGACCAGGAAGTGCTGGACTGGGTGCAAGGGAAGACCGCCGAAGAGAATAACACCAGCGAGAGGGCCAGGGCTAGAGGAGTTCACTACCGCTGGCACCAAGAGCAGTTGCAGAAGAACACGCGGGACGGATGGAAGATGGTCCCGCGGCCACAAGAGAGAGAACACATCATCAGCACAGTACACCGGCAGTTGGGACACTATGGCAGTCTACGAACCACGCAGCTAGTGGAGACCGGGTGGTGGTGGGATGGGATGCGGAGAGATATCAGGGAGTGGGTGGCTAAGTGTGAGCTGTGCAGTCGGAACAAAGCGGAGCTGGAAAGGGGGAGAAAGGAGCTGCAGTCGCTGCCTATACACGGCATAGGGTTCCGATGGTCTCTCGACTTAGCGGGGGAGATGCCTCTGAGCAGGAAGGGGAAGCGTTACATCTTAATCATGATCGAGCACGGAAGCAAATGGGTTGAAGTGAAGGCCCTCCCCAGCAAGAACTCGGCTAAAATAGCCGAAGCGTTCGAGGAGCAGGTACTCACAAGGTTCGGGGCTTGCGGGGAAGTACTAACCGATCAAGGGACAGAGTTCATGGGAGAGTTCGACAAATTGTTGCGAGCCACAGGTATCACTCACAGGAGGACCTCCAGATATCATCCGCAGAGCGACGGTCTCACTGAGCGATTTGTACAGACAGTGAAGCGGGGGCTGAGGGCCTACGGAGAGCAGTTTAAGAGGGACTGGGACACACGGCTCCCGTGGGTAGTGGCAGGATACAGATTCAGTAAGCAAGCGGCTCTACGAGATTTATCGCCGTATTACCTGCTCTTAGGGAGAGACCCAGTGATGCCCGTAGATGCGCCGAGAATCCTTACGGGGTCGGTGCAAGTGGCCAACGAGGAGGAATGGGTGGGGCTGGCAGAAGCGAGGGCGAGGTACTTGAGAGAACTCTTACCAGCGGCACTGGAGAATCTACACGTGGCACAACTGAGGGATGCGCAGCGGTATAAGAAGAGAGGAGAACGGCAAGAAGGAAAGAGGGTCAAGGCGCTGGGAGCTGGGGAGGAAGTATACTTGAAGCAGGCGAAGCACGATCTGATGGACCTCAGGCTGAGCACAGAGCGCTGGAAGGTGAAGGAGATCAAAGACTCTGGGGTAGTGGTGCTCGTGAGCGCGCAAGGGCAGAGGAGGACTGATCATTGCACTAATGTGGCGCGGGCGAGAGGACGGGCTATGGGGCAATCAGTTCCCCGAGCTGAAGACGGGGATGTCCAGCGGCAGTCGGCAGGAGCCAAGAAACAACCGCGGAGGGGGCAAGTGGAGAATGCAGGGGAACATGAGAGGAAGGACGGCAGAGAACTAAGGGCACTGACGAGGCCCAGCTGAGAGCATCAAACGGAGAGACAGTGCAGCAGAGCCCAGAAGAGAGGAGAGGAGAGTAGTGCAAGAACCAGTAAGGCTGGGACAGCATAATTCCGACAGAGCTCCTCCCACTTTACTCTCGTTGCCCACCATTGCTACACGTGGCACGCTGCACCCCCCATGAGGCACGAGGGGAACCACACGTGCCAGCCAACCAACCATGACCGTGACTGGACTGGACTTGTCTCAGTGCGGGCGACTCCTGCCGGCCATTTCTTGTGCGCAGGAACCTGGAAACGGACGATCCACACCGGCAGGGGCGACTGCTGAATGATGACATCTCAGAGCTCACAGCACTCACCAGCCTGTGAGTGTTGCGTGCGTGGAAGTGCAGCAAGCATGATTTCTCAATTTTATCTATATAGTAGGTGAGAATGCCTAATATAGCCTCAAAACAATTAACTGTAAGTTCTTAAAGACTTGGGTTTCTATCTAAGATTTTCATTTTAACTCATTTAAGGCTACTACTGGTTGGGTGGGTGTTGGAAAAGAATATGATGAGTGCTAGTGTGTCTCGTTAAAGATGATACGCAGATAAATGCACCACGTCCCACCCACGCCATCTCATTTGTTTTCTTGCTGCATCACCGTCTTCGGTAGGGCACAAAAGCACTCGCCACTCCTGCCTTAGAATCTCAGACAACCGTCTGTTGCCTACTCTCACGCTCTGCAGGTCCCTCAGCGGAAACAACCTGGAAGGGTACCTGCCCAAGAGTTGGACCAATCTGGTCAATCTGCAGTCGCTGTGAGTCAATGCTTCCTTCCTATGTCATTCTCCATCCTGCCATCCTGCCGTCCTGCCATGCTCCCATGCTGGCCCACTGGCTTGCTGCTGGCAGCAGTGTGAACCCCTTTGCTGTTGCACCATGTCAGACATGAGCGAGCACGCTCATGTTCGCCCGAACATGTTCGTGTTTGACATGTGTTCCTTGGAAAAGTCCCGTGCCTCCTCTTTTAGGTCAACAGAAAATACTAGTCGATTTCCTTATTTAGCTCGACTTTTGCCTTACTCCCCTCCCACAGCCTAGACCACAACCTCCATCAACTAGCATACATAGAATTTAAAGAATTTGTTTGGCGGAACCAAACTCTACTCTTTTAGTCAAGTTTTGGGTGGTGTTTATAGGTGATTAAGGTGTTTTAGGGCGTTGTTCTTAACGCCCACCACGTTTAGCCACACCTCCTTGCACGCCCTAATCCACCATCACGCATCATGTGACACCATATCAAAGGCTTGTGGACTCCACAAAAGTGGGGAGATGAGACACACTCCATCCATGGTACGCATGTCATCCTTGGACAAGGGCATTGCTCATGCGTACCATGGAGTACGTCCCATCACCCACACACCCCACAAGCCAACCTCGGGTTTACTCAAAACCATGTTGAATGTTGTTGGTGAGAGAATGCAAATGGCCGTTCAGTACGACAATCATTTGTGTAATAATGGATAGTTGTGTTGCATGTCCCTGTTTTGCACCCTGGCTTCCTCCTCTTAGTCGTAGCGTCATAATCCATAGAGTCTCAAGTTGCCGCTAGGCACGTGTCCAAGACGCAAGACATGTCCAATCCCACACAGCCAATAACCTTCGAATCCGGTCAATTTATAGTAACTGTAAGTTGAACCTTTCAATCTGTTCGACTCGAAGCTGTAGCGGTTTGACACACAAGAAAGGCAGCTTGTAGTTCTCTTAAAGCCTATCGGGGTCACCCCAGTGGCCATATGAAGAACACACTCGTTCAGTCTCCGTTTTGTGTCAGAATATTAAGAAACAACCGTTTTCAAGGAACCATTCCGACGACATTCTCGGCCCTCTAACAAGCCTAATTGAAATGTAAGTTTCCTGTGTCCTCCCCGCTTCCAATCGTCAAATCCACACTCTGTCCTTGTCCATAATCCTCGTGCCTTCCTCGCTAAGTCTACCTGTTCTGCCCCCCTCTGTTGCAGAGACCTTTCAGGGAATCATCTGTCCGGTACAATTCCCCCTGCGTTTGCCGCCAGCATCCAGTCAATGTATGCCACTCTTCCCTCCCCCTCCTTCCCAACCTTTTCAAGCCTAACCCCATCGTTTACTCACTGTACTATCACGATTCAGTACATTTCAATCACTCAACTCCCGTCTTTCCCTTACATGCATTCCCTTCTGATCCGTTTTCCCATCTTTGCCCATTTTTACACATTCGTCTTCAAACCTCCATGCATATTCGCCCCTCGGGCACTCTTCCGACCTGCACTATCTGTCTAGCACCAATTCCCAAAACTTGTGTCACTCCTGCTCCTAGGTTTGAGCATGAACCAAACCCTAACGGGTTTGGTCAATCTTTTTCAGAGTTTCAAACTATACTGAACCGATTCCAATAGGTTTGGTCAAACTTGGAAATCTCTAGGGTTTGAGGTTTGTTTGTACTAGGACGAACCGTTAAGGTTCGGCCAAACCTTTTTGAGTTCAGCGAACTCATACTTTTTTTGTGACGATCCATTTCATAAGTACGACGGGGGATTAGTAAGTTGAGGATGTTGAACAAAATAGACACAGTACCAGAAATTCCACAAACAGCATAGAAGAGCAAGGTTTATAAAAGATAACCCACGGTACTCATGGGGCCAAAGTAGGGATGAGCAAAGGGCAAACACGAACATGTTCGTGTTCGCCCCTTGTCGAAAACCCTCTTTTCCCGAACCGAACACTGTTCGGTTCGGCGAACAGTTTAGGCAAAAACAGGCGTTCGCTGTTCGCCTGTGGAGGCGTGTTCGGGCGAACCTCGAACACGTTTGTGTTCGCCACGGGGCGTTCTGCAGCAGCGCCACGAACACGAACGTGTTCGGGCGAACCTCGAACACGTTCGGGCGAACGATTTAAGCTGAAAAACAAGACCTGTTCGGTTCGCCTCGAACGTGTTCGAGGCGAACCGAACAGGTGTTCGCCACCTTGCTCATCCCTAGGCCAAAGTGCCTGCTAAGAAGGCCATCTACAAGGACAGATTCAAGTCAAATACAGCACCACAAAAAGGGAATGGACCGCCATCTCACAGCTCCCCCAAACGACCGTGAAGGTGTGAACCGAAGATAAGTTCCCACCCTGAAGGTGTGAACGACCCGGGGAAAGGCAAAGAGACCTCCCCAAATCTGGCTGGGGGTGGGGGGTTGTGAGCACCTGGCGGCCCACCCAATGTAGGCCCCTCATGGGGCTCTCTAACGGCCACCACCATTTGACATAATTTTAGATTTTTTTTTTTTTTTTTTTCCTTTCTTTCAGAAAACGGTTTTAAGCTAAGCAAAACGGAATGTTCTAGGTTCCCTTTGAAAGGGTTGTTTTTTGTAAATACTATAGATAGGACGCATTTAATGATGGCAGGGAGGGTGAGGTCGTTAGAATATATTTCCTAGGACATTCCCGCTTTTGACGGGAATGCCGAGAGGAATGTTTTTGGGCCCTAATCGGACTGTCGAACCATTTGACAGCCCTGGGCCGAACCAGAAACGTTTGGCCAAACCTAACCTAGGTTGTGTTCATTGCAATTTGGAATGGTTCCTGTTTGGCTGCAGTGGTTTATCCTCCAACTCGTTCTCTGGAGGCATCCCAAACACATTGACTCGCCTCACTCGCCTCACCGATATGTATGTATCTCCCCATGCTACACTGCCCCATTGTACCTCTCCCTGCCCCCACTACACTAAGCTGCTGAATGAACAGAGCTGATTGCAGGCCATCAATTATTCATTGCTGTGCCTTGTTTTACCACAACTGCTGCGTTCCCAGGCTTTCATTGCCTCGTACATGTGTGTGAGTGTGTGTGAGTGTGAGTGTGTGTGCGTGTGTGTATGTCTGTCTGTGTGTGTTTGGTGTGTGTGTGTTTGTATGCGTGTCTGTGTATGTGTGTCTGTGTGTGTTTGGTGTGTTCGTGTGTGTATGTGTTTATGTGTGTGTTTTTGTGTGCGTGTGTGCGCTTGCGTGTATGTGTGTCTGTGTGTTTTTGGTGTGTGTGTGTGTGTGTGTGTGTGTGTGTGTGTGTGTGTGTGTGTGTGTGTGTGTGTGCGCGCGCGCGTGTATGTGTGTCTGTGTGTGTTTGGTGTGTGTGTGTGTGTGTATGTGTTTGAGTGTGTGTATGTGTTTGAGTGTGTGTCTTTGTGTGCGTGTGTGTGTGTGTGTGTGTGTGTGCGCGCGTGTATGTGTGTCTGTGTATGTTTGGTGTGTGTGTGTGTGTGTGTGTGTGTGTATGTGTTTGAGTGTGTGTATGTGTTTGAGTGTGTGTCTTTGTGTGCGTGTGTGTGTGTGTGTGTGTGCGCGCGCGCGCGTGTATGTGTGTCTGTGTGTGTTTGGTGTGTGTGTGTGTGTGTGTGTGTATGTGTTTGAGTGTGTGTCTTTGTGTGTGTGTGTGTGTGTGTGTGTGTGTGTGTGTGTGTGTGTGTGTGTGTGTGTGTGAGTGTGGGTATGTGTATGTGTGTGTGTGCACTTCAATTGATAGAGACATGGCTGCCAACAATCTCAACTCAGGCCTTGACGTGGTGGCTCAGATGACATGGCTTCATTACATGTGAGTATATTCTCCTTTCCTCGCCACTTCAGCATCCACCTATTGGCCCTTTCCTTGCTTTCCCTCGCCTCCCTTCGTTCATTCTGGTTGCCTGCAACATCTGCAACGTTTTTTTTTCTAATACTGGCTTTGCAGAAGCCTCAATACCAACAACTTCTCTGGTGTACTTCCACCGTCCTTCGATGCTTTCAGTGCCCTCTATTATCTGTGAGGCCATTCCGTCCGTTTCTCCTTGTGAGTACAATACAACAACCCTTTGTAGCACCAACTGGGGTTGGGATGCAGCAACAGGTAGCATTGTGACTGCCCGGTGATAATGAGACTGCTTTTATACTCAATACATGTATAATCTCTTTTCACTTCATGGTGTATAACCCGCATGTGTGCGTAAATGATTTCGATACGTGTCGATTCGTTTATATGTGCTGGACTGCTTCTGGTTGTGTACATGCATTCCTTTATTCGCGCATTCATCAAGGGCCACCTCTTCGTGCACATGTGCAGTGGCCTGTAGACGAACGCCGGAATGCATGCTTTCCCATACGCTCCATGTATTTGTTTCATCATCTCTTTCCCCCCCACCCCCCCCCCCCCCCCACCCACACTGTATCTGGGCCTCATTGTTCAGGGATATTGGAAACAACCACTTCACTGGAACTTTTCCAAATTTTATTCTGCGCCAGAAGGTTCTTGCATCCCTGTAAGCCATCCGCACGCGGCCTCGAACAAAAGCGGGTTGCAAGGCAAGGGGGGTCGACCCGACCCGACCCGACCCGGTTTCGCTCAGGCCGGGCCGGGTAGGCCTGAGGTTGAGGATTTTCCCTACCCCCTGGTCCTAAAGGGGTTGGGTCGGCATGTACCTGGCGCCACGCTGACCCAAACCGAACCGAGAGTTGGGTCACGTTTGGTCGGGTTGACCGGTCAAGCCCACCAGAGGAGCGACTCGACCCGGCGAAAACCTCAAATCGGCTCGACCCGATGAAACAAATGTCGCTATTGAGTACCTTTCTTCCAGTACCCCCTGAAACAACTGTCTGAGCAACTCATGCGCAATCGCAATTGGAATGACCATGGCAGGAACTTGAGCAACAACAGTTTCACAGGGAGCATCCCCCACGGATTGACCAACCTTGTCTACCTGATGAATTTGTGAGTGGCGCAGCTGCTTGATACAGCACAATTTTTATCAGGGCACGACACATTTGGAGCATCAGACGAGGATCGGGTGTGCGCACCAAAGCTGTGAGCATCAATTGCCACACCGTGCTTCTGAACTGCGTGTTTGCACTATCGGCTGCTACCCCGAGCCACATGGGCCACATGAATTGCAGGCTGGGGGCGAAGTCGTACTGTGTCGCTATTGCAATGACGCACACAAAAACAACTGATGTCACCCTGTTACCGCATATGAATCTTGCGACGGCGATCAGCATTTCCGCACAATCAATTGCATGATTGATGTGGCCTTAGAGGCCCACCGATCTTGCCAACTGGAGGGGACACGATTGTGGCGAAAAAATTATGTCACGTTTTGCGAGTTTCACGAAGAAAGGATACATAGACATTAACGATATTGCGGAGTTACTGTACACCCCACACATCAATCCCTCCCAGGATCAATGTGTAAAATGTGACACGTTCTTAGGTTCATCATGGTGGCTCGTGTGAGTCGACTTCTGGTTTTGGGTGCACTAGCGTTAAAAATCAAAACGTTGTTATTGCTAGCGTACTGAAACTAGAACGGATAGGGGAGGACATGAACGAGAAGATTCTCCAAGTAGGGCAATGACTGGGTGTCGAAGATCCTATCAAGTCTCCCTTCTTCTTGAAAGAACGACTCCGCTTTGACTTTTTTTTTTTTTTACAATGCCCAGAAATCTAAATGACAACAATTTTCGTGGAACCTTCCCATATGGCCTGCTCCGGCTGTCCATGCTGTCCTCCCTGTAAGTTGCTCCATCACACCTGTTTCAGAACATCCTTGGGGTGCCTTCATCTCTTCTTTTGACAATACGGTGCACACAATACTGATTAACCATTCTCAGAAATATAATGGCAAATGGTGCTTTGCACGCAAGTTTTCTACTCTGCTGCTGAGTACTAAATGGAATTCGCATGCCTTTTGCTTGCTCTGGATGTGTCTCCCTGCACACCAAGCTTCGTGTCTATCGCTTTGGGGCCCACAATGCATGCATGTGCTTTTGCAGTTTCCTTGGGTTTCTAACAGCTGCTTTCAGCCCTCCGTCTATACCCCTCCATCCGACACAGGGCGGTATCGAACAACTTTCTTTCTGGGGAACTCCCACGGACTCTCAGCAGCAACATTCTTCTTGAAATATTGTAATCAGTGCAACAACTGTGTGCTGCCTGGTGCAATGCTGTCCCTTCATGCCTAACATTCATGCCCCTTGCATTCTTATCTCCGTTTGCACTGTGCAGTAACTTGGGAGGAAATGACTTCACAGGTTCCTTACCAGACTTCTCACGCTGGAACATCAGCTGTACACAGATGTAAGCAAGTCTTCCCGCACTCTCTTCCTCCTTGTCCCATTCTAAGCATCGCTTGCTCAATCTCATTCTTAGCACCATGGGATCCGTGCCATGCATACGTTCCCATGTATTGCATTGCACCCATAGTAAGCAGTTGCGTTCACCCCACTCACGCCAGGCTCTCTTGTTGCTGACTCGCATGTGTTGTGGCTCAAAAACCTCAGCGGCAACAACTTCACAGGGTCTATTCCCGACTCCATCTCGACCCTCACCTCCCTTGACGGCATGTGAGCCTTCTCTTCTTGTGCCACAGCGAGCCGTAATGCTTGCCATCTACCTGCACTTGCTCAGTGCGCCATCTACCTGCACTTGCTCAGTGCGCCATCTACCTGCACTTGCTCAGTGCGCCATCTACCTGCACTTGCTCAGTGCGCCATCTACCTGCACTTGCTCAGTGCGCCATCTAGCTGCACTTGCTCAGTGCGCAGTTCAACCGATCTGCCCGTTTGCCATGCCCTGCACTTTTCTCAACAACAACCAACTGACAGGCACCATCCCCTCTGCGATCTTCACCATGACGAATCTGAAACACCTGTAAGCCTCAAATAAGTTTGGATTTTTCTTCTGCCCCTCAAGGTGCTTTCCTGCATTCGCTCGCACAGCTCTTGCATACGATACTTCTCATTGCAATGCCTCCCTGCGACTGCCATTGCCCGCCGCCAGCTACTTGGCCAACAACCACCTCTCTGGCAGTCTGCCAGCTGCCATCAGTAGACTGCAGAAACTCCAACAGATGTGAGTTAGGTTGCTATCTGTCTGCCCCCCCTACATTTCTCAACAGCATTGACATTGCAGAAGCAATACATTCAGAACAAGCACAAGCATACATCCGATTGTTGCTACGACCCTATGAGTGTAGCAAACGTCCTCACTGTGAACGTAAAAGTAGAAACACACGCAAACATCATCTGTACCATACCCATTCCCACGCTACCCTGCTGCTTTGCATGCCACCGTCGGCACCTTCCTTCCTCCGGCCACTGCTCTGCCTTTCCCACAGCTGGTTGGACAACAACAAGATTGAAGGCCCTCTGCCACCTAGCCTATGCTCGCTGCCCTGGATATGGCGCTTGTGAGTGGCTTTGGTGCATGCGAGTGGCTTAGGTACATGTGATGTGAATGCATGGCATGCACAAATGAGAAATTTCTCAGCCAGGATAGTGTACACATGAATGTTACAATATGTGTGAACATGTCTCACTTTCAGTGTGTTTTCTTTTTGGATGGGTGTGTAATGTGACTCATGGTGTGTCATGGTGTGTGTTGTGCTGCTGGCAGCATGATCAGCAACAACCACCTCTATGGACCCCTGCCAGACTGCCTCTTTGACAAGTGCATCAACCAAATGTGAGCCAACGATGGTACCATCCACGCACCCTCACTCAGCACGGGCATGCCAGCGGGTGTTGAGATGCATGCGCATGGTGTTAGGACTGTGGTGGGACTACCTTCGATCGAACACTCGACATCTTTTTCTGCCTTCCCTGTGACCCCCGTGCTTCCCACAGTGATGTGAGTGGCAACAGCCTGTATGGGCGCATCAACCGCGACTTTGAGAACATGGTGGCGGATGGCAGTGCGCTCATCAATTTGGCTAACAACTTCTTCTTTGGGGAAGCCTTGCTCTTTGCTGCCGGTTGCAAGGTCTGCCCCACTGAGGTCAGCGAGCCCAACCAGCTGGACATGAAGGACTCCTCAGTATGGGTGTTTGGTGGCAAGTGCAGCAACCCCGATCTCACTGGTCCAACCGATATCTCTGTGGCGAGCGCAGACAGGGAGGTGAGGGTGAGTCTGTCGGGCAACTGCCTGACCCTCAGCCGGAATACCAAGTGTTCCTCGAATGCCACCCAGCGCAGCACGGCACCCTGCCAGGCGTTCTGCAGCATCACTGCCAACGGCCCGTGCGACGGCCATGGGGAGTGTGTGCAGCCTGACCCTGCCTTCCCCACCAACTTCACGTGCCTCTGTGATGCCGGCTACACTGCTGTCGACTCGGGCAACGGCTCCTCATGCGCCATTGTCTACTCGAACACCACCACTGGTAACCCTTGCTTCATTCCTACCGCACTGCTTCATTCTTACATGCTGGGCCACTTGTAACCCGTTCTTACAGCACTGCCTAGTTCTTACCTGCTGCACCGCTGGTAACCCTTGCTTCACTTCTATACCTGCACTTCACATCACTGCCTCATTCTCGTCACTGTCATGATGCTTCTGGCAACCACACCTTATCACTCCCTTCCTCACCTTGACTCCTCCCCCTAACCACTACCCTCTTCCCCTTAACCTACCCTTCCTTGACAGTGTCCTCTCTGTCCACGGGCGCCATTGTGGGCATTGTTCTGGGCTGCTTTGTTGGCTTCACTCTGCTGGCTGTTGTGCTCGCATGGCTGCTGTGGCCCCGCGGACCAAGTGAGCCCCTCTACCGTTCAGTTCCACTCCCTGCTCCTCCTGTACCCGGTTTCTGGCCTCCTTTGCTGCCCTCTGCCATTATTCCTGCCGTACAACTCTGCCTCTGCACTACCCACTCGTGCACTGCTTACTCTGCACTGCCTCCCGTGGTTGATCACTCCACTTCTGTGTGTGCAGAGAAGTGGGAGGGTTTGGATGTGTGTGAGCAGTTCTCGCTGCAGCAGATGCTGAGTGCTACCAACAACTGGTCAGAAGACAATGTGGTGGGCAAGGGTGGCTTTGGCGTTGTCTACAAAGGCCGCTCACCACAGGGCCAGCTGTGGGCCGTCAAGCGCTCCACCATCATGACCAACGACTTTGAAACAGAGGTCAGGCATATGTTTGATTCCCTGCATTTCGTCCACAAAGCACGTGGGAAATACGGCACCTTTGGCAATGTTGACCGCCGACTCAGTGGCATAGTGCTCATCTTTCCATGTGCGCTCGCTGCAGGTGCGAGCCATGGCCTCCCTCCACCACGCACATCTCGTGTGCCTGCTGGGCTTCTGCCTGGACCAGAACATGGAGACGGGCAAGCAGGAGCAGATCCTCGTGTACGAGTTCATGCCAAATGGGGACCTGGATTACCACATCCATGTGACCACGAGTGAGTTGCATTGCACTGCCACGATGGCTAAACGATTGACATAGAATTTCATTGTTGAGGCACCATCACTCATAAAACTACCCTTTTTACTCCATACACGTATTTCATGTCCCAGATCCGCTTTCACTTCGGCAGAGGTTGCGCCTAGCACAGGGAGCAGCAGAGGGCCTGGCGTACCTGCATGGGTTTGAGACACCCATCATTCATCGCGACATCAAGCCAGCCAACATCCTTGTGTCGGCGGACATGCAAGCCAAGGTGGCTGACTTTGGGCTGCTCAAGCGCCTCACTCATGGCGGTGCCGATGCCACGCGAGTGGCTGGCACTCCTGGCTATGTGGATCCGGACTACGTTCGCACCAACATCATCACTGCCAAGAGTGATGTCTTCAGGTGCGCTTGCTTGTTCATGTGCGCAACGTGATTGTGCACCTCTGTTTTTTTGTTGTTATTGTTTTTGTTTTTCTTGACTTTTGTTTATCACCACAGGATTGTACCCTGTATTGCTATCTGTATCTCTGTATTTATCTCGAGGTTTACTCCTGCATGTCCAATCGCATCATTGCTTGCAGCTTTGGAATCGTGCTTCTTCAGTTGCTTAGTGGAAAGTCTCCTCAAGTCGACGCAAAAACACATATAAGAAAATGGGTATAAGTCGTGTTAATGTTTTGTGACCTCACGGTAATCCTTCTAAGTACTGTTCATCATATATTTCACTGCCTTTGGTTGTTATCATGCTTCCTTCCACTCCTTTGCTGCTACTCATGCTGCTTTGCGCTGCCTCCCTCATTCCTCATCCTTCCTTGTGTGAACGTCATCCAGGCAGTAAAGCTAGTAGAGGCGTATGAGCTGGATGAACTCAGGGACAGCAAGATGCCGGCGGCAAGCGAGGAGGCTATAGTGGACTTTGCAGACCTGGCTCTGGACTGTATCAAGTCTCCTGGCACACGGCGTCCCACCATGAAGGATGTGGCATACCGCCTCAGTGCCCTGATTGACAAGCACTGTCCCGACAGGGAGGACGAGTGGGAGGGTGTCGCAGAAGGAGAGAGTGCAAGCAACAATAATAAGTCTTCAAGGATTGTTTCTGCTGTGTCGTTTGGAGATGGTGGGAGGGAGTATGAGCAGTCTCAGGGCTCACATTCTGGGGTGAGCTCATTTATGGCATTAGCTCGATAAGTGATCCTCAAGAACTGGCTGCAATTGAAGCCACTCAAAAGTTGCTTATTTCCCTTAATGACTGCACATGGATGGGCCTTTATCCTTGGAGCTTCACTTTCTTAGTGTTGAATGGTGATGGTGTACCACAAATGGATGTTTTCTGCGGGTACTGTGCCACCCAGGATAGAACCTCACCCTTATAATTGGTACATTGCATGCGCATACCGTATATCCTGACTAATGCACCTATACACAATTGCCGATTGTAAGAGCATGTTACGGTAAATCAACCCTATTTGTTTGTATTAGCACATTACCGTATTTGATATTCTATTGAGTATACTGTAATGAACAGACTTCTTCCCATTCAGGCATCCGTAAACCGACTCCGAAGTCGGAAGCTTGGTGCAGCCAAGTCAAACAGGGTCAGCAAAGAGTGTTTTGTCGCCAAGTGAGTGCAAGTGTTGGCAGCCGGCCACCAGAAGTCAGAGAAAGTTCTCTGATTTACCGTACCTAAAAAAAACTATGATATTTCAACTTTTTTTTTTAATATATATATATATATATATACATATGGATTTTGAAACTTCGGCCTTTTCTTTCGTATGAACTTTGGAGAATTATATTTTGTTTTGAGCCTTCTTTCATAATTTAGATTTGTTTTCATGGTGTAGTATGATCTATCAGACTACAAACGCGAACCTACTCTTATTTTGACTATGCGAGATTTGCGGATATAACCTCGTTAGCACTAGCGCACACCAAATCCAATTGCTATAGTACCCACGTGTCAAATGTTATATTCATTGTTAGACCGTAGTGAGGTACTCCCTAAAGATTTAGGGTTTGCTATTTGCATCACTATGCATCGTGCTGTGTCCGCCGCCTTGACAACTCCTACCGTCAGCGCCACGGCCTTCAGGAGCGCCCTCCGCGCCGGGGGCAGCTGCTTGCTCGTAAGGTTCCTGTATTTGATCTGACTATGGATGAGGCTCGTTAGTATGCCATGCATGCTGATGTTGCTCGCGTGTTTCTAGACTAGGATCTTTGCATGTTGCTAGTGTACATGTTTGTCTTTCCAGTCTAGGCGTTTGTGTAGCTACGAGCCCAAGTGCACCTACCGCTGACGCGTCGCTGCCCTTCATGCTGGACTCTGGCGCGTCGTAGTGCTCCTTCCGCGGCCACACGACTCTCGCACTGGTTCCGGTTGCCTTGGCTGATCCTACTTCATGACCAGCAGTTGCACGCAGCTCTACCACCTTCCCGTGCCCGGTTGTCCCCTCTGGTGTCCTCACAGGTCTCCACATCCCCTCGTTCACTCAAATCTTGGTGGGTGTTGGATATCTTCATGATCGAGGGATCACATTCACCTTTCTTGGGCACGGGAGGACTGCGATCTGTACGGACGCTTCCACCAGGGCGCTCTTTGCCACATTCACCAGGGAGCCCCGCTCCGGCCTCTATGTTCTGCATACTGAGTCCCCCTGGTAGTTACGCCCGGTCCGGATGCCGCGTCCGGTCAGGTTGCTGCATCTGGTCAGGTTGCAGCACCGCGCTCCTGTCCGTCACTCACCCACCCGACAGTCCTTTAGCACCACCGAGTTGGTTCCGTCCCTCCCACGTCCCCATAGCATGGCTAGCCAGCGTCTTGTCTTAGGTCTCCCACGCGTCTTTTCGTCGCTCCCTCCTTCGCCTACGCCACCGTGCACTCCTTGCGTCGAGGGTCGGCTGCGCGCCACCCCTCTGTCAGAATGTTATAATTGTCTAGTCTGCAGTGGGGTACTCTATAGTGAGTACAACCCAAATTAGGGTTTGCTATATGTACTCCCCTACTTACTAGTGAAGCCCTCCTTTTCTGTTCTATCGTTCTACAGCTGTTTCTGACATGGTATCAAAGCAGGTCGACCCCCCCCGGGTCGATCCTGTGGATGGGCCCACCGTTTGCTTCCGCTGCCACTACTGTACTGTCTGTCGCGCGCCCCGTTGCGCGCGACGATTTTTTCTTCCCGCCACGCGCTCGGGGCGCGTGGCGGTTTTCTGCCCGCCGCGCGCTCGGGGCGCGTGGCGGTTTTCCGCTCCGTCGCGGCGCCCCGGGGGCCCGCGCGCCACCCCCTCCCGTCGCCCGTCGTGGCGCCCTCGGGGGCCCGCGCGCCACCCTCTCCCGTCGCCCCGTCGCGGCGCCCTGGGGGCCCGCGCGTGGCCCCCTCCCGTCGCCCGTCGTGGCGCCTCGGGGGCCCGCGCGCCTTCCCCTCCCGTCGCCCCGTCGCGGCGCCCTGGGGGCCCGCGCGCGGCCCCCTCCCGTCGCCCGTCGTGGCGCCCTGGGGGCCCGCGCGCGGCCCCCTCCCGTCGCCCGTCGTGGTGCCCCGGGGGCCAGCGCGTCCGCCCCTCCCGTCGCCCGTCGTGGCGCCCCGGGGGATCCGCGCGCCGCCCCTCCTCGCCGCCGCCTGCCCTCCCCCCCCCCCCTCCTCCTCCTTCGACTTCGTGCTGGCGTGCAGCCGTGTGGAGGGTCTGGGGGTGGCAGGAGTTAGGGCGGGTATGGGGGTGGCGGGTGTGTGCGCCGTCCGCTCCTCCTCCTCCTCCGTCTCCCACTACTGCAGCTGCCGCTGAGGGGGGTGGTTGTGTGGGAGCCGAGGGCGTGGCGCTAGTGGGGTGCCGTGGGAGTGGAGATAGGGGTGCAGCAGGGGGTATGTGAAAGGGGTGTGGGACAGTTGGAGGAGGTTGCGTGGAGGCAGCCGTCGTGTCGCCAACAGCGCCAGTAGTCCGGAGGCTACAATCTCCGGTAGTCGCCAGTCGGTTGCTCCAACCGCTCGGCGTAGCCGCGGAGCTAGTTACTCCTGTAGTCCGGGTCTTTGCTTTGGTAGCCACTGAGCCAGCCGCTACCGTGTGTCTGCAGCTTCCGTCGTCGCCTCCCATCTCCTCTCCTCTCACATTCCCTCCTCCTCCTCACGTGCCCTCTGTGATTGCCTCTAGCTTTGCTTATGCTTGTGCACTTATTCTGTCACTGCTCATTGTGCTGACTATACCCCACTTTGCCTATGGGGGTGTGTCAGAATGTTATAATTGTCTAGTCTGCAGTGGGGTACTCTATAGTGAGTAAAACCCAAATTAGGGTTTGCTATATGTACTCCCCTGCTTACTAGTGAAGCCCTCCTTTTCTGTTCTATCGTTCTACTGCTGTTTCTGACACCCTCACCCCTCCTCCCTTCGTCCGGCTATAGCACCCTTTCAGAATCTCCACTTGGACGTCTAGGGCCCAGCCCTTCGACTTGGGCCCGAGAGGGAGCGCTACTTTCTGGTGGTCGTTGATGACAACTCCAGGTACACCACGGTGTTTCCCCTGGAAAAGAAGTCCGACGTGACTTCTACGCTGATCAGGTGGTTACTGGCCACTGAGGCCACTCTTGATAGTCGTGTTCTTTGCCTCCACACCGATCGTGGGGGTGACTTTTACTTAGGCGTGCTTGCCTAGTTCTGTAGCAAGCAGAACATCACCCAGTCCTGGACGCTTTTGGAGTTTCCACAGCAGCATGGGGTTGCTGAGCGCCGCATAGGCTTCGCCATGGAGATCGCCTGCACCTCCATGATCCATGCTTGTGCACTCCATTTTTTGTGGTGCTGCGTGGTTCTCTATGCCGCCCACCAGCTGAACCTCTGGCCTCGTGTATGACGGCTAGAGGCTTCACCGACCAGTCTTTGGACCGGTTCCCCTGGTGTTTCGTCGGAGTTTCATGTCTAGGGCTGCCTTGCGCTTGTCCGCGACAACTCTGCGGATAAGCTCTCGGCTCGCGCCATTCCTTGGGTCTTCCTTGGTGTCCCGGTGGCCGCTCCTGACTTTGCGTTTTACCACCCGCCCCTCCATCTGTGAGAGTTTGCCGACTAGGCTTACCCATATATATTTTACCTTACATGTTGTTTCAACTATTGTTGGCAACTTTAGCTAATGAATCTCTTGCCAATTTCTTCTGTGAATGAGCACGTAGAGTGAACACAAGCAAACGACTAAGGAACGCAGAGATCACCCTCACAGCCGTGCCTAGCCCGTAGACTAGCTCCCGTAGTTTTAGTTATCTTAGCACACTATATGTGTACGCCTTGCATTGCATGGACTATACACCCTGCATTCCATGCACTTATGTTCCCATTCCACAAGCCACCTCTCATGTTTGCCCGCCTGCCGTGTTCCCTCAACCGTGGCATCACACCATGGTGATGGTTGGCGAGCATGCATGGACAGCATGCGGGGGGGCCTATCGGGTGCTGTCATGAGAGTGGAGGTTTTTGCTGCTCGTTACCCTGTGCTTCCCTCCGTGTCCCCCAACGCATGTCATTATACCAAGGTGATGGCGGGCATGGACAGCATGAACGGAGGTCTGTGCTTTCATGTGAGTGAAGATTTTTGTTGCTTGTTGCCGTGTGTTTCCCTCCTCTCCATGGCCCCCAACCCACGACACCACACCAGGGTGATGGCAGGCATGGACGGCATGAAGGGGGTCCTATCGGCCCTCACGTTTCTCACTTCTCTCAAAGCCATGCAAAGCATGTAACGTGTTGTCGAAAAGCACTGTGGGCTGCATGTTCTCAGCAGGTTCCTGCTCTTTTGTGAATTTGTGTTTTTACGCTTTGCAACAGAACAGTTTTTTGCATGTCTTGGAGAAGCACCGTGCAAAGTGAATTAATTGGACAACATGCCATCATTTCTACAATTGCATAACCTACGTTCGAATATGTAGGAGGTAGTACTTATGTAGCATGTCAAAACCTACAGCATCTAGCCTTCGTTGTGTTGGCACACGTGTTGCTTCCACCATAATCCCGCATCTCACAGCCAACTCGCTCTAGTCCAATGCCCCCCCACCTGACCGTCATGCGTGCAGCACCATGTCAATGGTTCCATGGATAGGGGAACTTCCAGCATTGTTTGCCACGCTCACCTCCCTCACTTCCCTGTAGGCTCTCAAACGCTCCAGTCTCCCTATTGTTGTATTTCCGCTCAACTTATCCACATCGCTGCCTTACTTCACTTCAATGTCCCTTTATATTTCCATGCACGTGCTAGTGAAGAAATACGCACTTCGTGATGCGCTGTTGCTCCTGCGTGTAACATGAAATGAACCGCTGTTCAGTTCCACTCGAACTTATTCGTATCGAAATGAAGGGTTGCAATTTTTGGCCCGAAATGGTTCGAATCGAACACATCTTTTCCGGGTCGAATAGACGTGGGCAAAGCGCTGAAACGCTGTTCGCTTTGGTAGTTACCAAGTTCGTTTCTGTCCTGGTGGAATATTTTCAGTGCGCTCGACTAAACTAGTCGCTCGGCAAATACGAACTTGTTAGAGTGTTTGATATGTGGAGGGGCCGTGGTTGGTGGGGGAGGGGCTCTAAGGGGTCTTGGTTGGTTTACCCTACCCACTGGTACTGGTGGTGTGGATGGGGTGTGCAAACTGAACACCGTTCGGTTCGAGTCAAACACTTTTCTGTTCGGTTCAAATCACATACCCCACCGTTCGACACCCTAGTTGAGTGAAGGTCGAACACTAGATGTTTTGAAAGTGTGTGTTTTCTACCAAGCTTGTTTTGTTTGAGGTGGCAAGTGGTTTACATATGTTATACCCAAACATGTTTGGTAAGAACTCGCAGATTTGCATGATCGGCGCATTTGGACCATCGATCTGCACGAAATTGCAATTTATCCCGTCTATTTGTGGAGCGGATCGGCCTGTTTTTGCTACCAATCCAGACAAACCGGTAATATTCGTGGCCAATCCGTACAGATCTGAGCAAATCGGCCACTTTAGCAGGCAATCTGTGCGGCTGACGGGCCACGGCGGGTCGCTATATATCCTACAAAAAAAATATGTTCGGGTCTCGGATTGAACCGAGTTGACCAAGACAGGCTGACTGAAACGTCCGACCGCGGGTCTAGGCATGAGCAAAGGCGAAAACGAGAGTATTGGGTTAGAACATGCCTCGAACACATATGTTCGAACATGTTAGGATCGACCCGAATGTCAAACATTATATGTTTATATTGTGTAGGCTATAGTGGGTTTAGTCTTAGGGGGTACAACTTTGCTAGGGTTTCCTACTTGTATCCCCATCATTCCTAGTTTCATCATTCTCGTTCTGTTCTATATTTCAACATGGTATCCGACGCCTAGGTCAGGACCTAGGACCGACGTTGGTTAGGGCCCACCGTTCCGCCGCGCCCTTGCGCGACCGTGTCTGATAGTACCTCGCGCCGTCGAGCGCCCTTCCTCGCGCCGTCGTGCGCCTTGTTCCTAGCTGTGCGCTGCCCACTAGCCTCGCACGCAGCACCTCGCGGCCCCGTGCAGCCCCGTGTGCCGTCAGCCTGCCTACCCGCGCCCTCGAGCGCCTTCCTACCCGCGCCCTCGAGCGCCTGCCTACTCGCGCCCTTGAGCGCCTGCCTACCCGTGCCCTCGAGCGCCACCCTGCTGCTCTGCCCTGCAGGCCACGCACGGGCCTGCTCTGCACCCGCGCAGCCGCCCCTGGACTCCGAGGCGCGGCCCCTGGACCCCGCGACGCCCTGCCTCGTCGCGACGCCCCTGCGGGACCCGGGCGTCGCCCCCTGCCTTGTCGCGACACCACCTGCGGGACCTGCGCGTCGCCCCCCCTGCCTCGTCGCGACGACCCTGCGGGACCCGCGCGTCGCCCCCGTCTCGTCGCGACGCAGCTGCGGGACCCACGCGTCGCCCCCGCATCGTCGCGACGTAGCTGCGGGACCCGCGCGTCGCCCCCGCCTCGTCGCGACGCAGCTGCGGGACCCGCGCGCGTCGCCCCTGCCTCGTCGCGTCGCCCCCGCGTGACCCGCGCGTCGCCACTGGGACAAGCGCGGAGTCGCCCCTGCTCGCCGTGGCGCCCCTCCCTACCCCGCGCCCGCCCTTGGGACGGCCGCCCCTGGCCCCTAGAGCAGCCGCACCTACAGCAGCCGCCCCTGGCCCCTGGAGCAGCCGCACCTACAGCCGCCCCTGGACCCTGGAGCAGCCGCCCCTGCAGCAGCCGCCCCTGGCCACCTGGAGCAGCCACCACAGCAGGAGCCGCCCCTGGACCCTGGAGCAACCGCCCCTGCAGCAGCCGCCCCTAGCCCCTGGAGCAGCCGCCACTGCAAGAGCCGCCCCTGCCCCCCTGGAGCAGCCGCCCCTGCAGCAGCCGCCCCTGGCCCCTGGAGCAGCTGCCGTCGCGGCCCGGCCCCGCCCTGCAGCAGCTGCCGCGGAGCTCCCTGCCGCGGCCCGGCCCCGCCCTGCAGTTGTAGCGGCCCCGCTGTCGCCACCGTCTTGCGCCTGACGCGCCGACCACTGGTGAGCATTGCCCTGCCCGCACTGTTACCGCTGCTACTGCTGCTCCTGGCGTGGCCAGATGCAGCTCCAGGGCCGTGCGCGTGAGTCCCTCACGCCCCAGCAGCTTCGTGAGTGGTACGCTAGTTGGGGCTGTCGAGGTGGCCGTAGTGGTAGTCGCTCTGGAGTGGGTCGTTCGGGAGCTTCTGGTAGTGGACAGGTGCAGCTGCAGTGTCCTCTTTCGCCCCAGCAGCTTCGTGAGTGGTACGCTCAGAGTAGAGGGTCACTGAGTACTGCTCGCTGCCCGTACGTCATTCGCACAGGTGTCCGGACTGGTCAGCCTTGCGGGACCCGTGGCCACACAGAGTCCCACTGCTTCGCCCGTCTGAGCGACGCTTGGCGTACAGAGTTTGGCGACGCCGCTGAGCTCCCCTCCTGGGTGGAGCTGCTTAGGCAGAGGGTAGATATCTTTGCTCTTGACTCTGATGCTATCCTCACTGCCATGTATGCATTGTCTACTAGTGCTGCGAGTGCCTGTCCCCTGTGTGTACCGCCTGACCCCGGTATCCAGTCTACTGCTCTAGGTACTGGTGTGGCTGCCGCTCTAGGTGCTAGTGCGTCTGCTGCCCTAGGTCCTCGTGAGGCTGCTGCTCTAGGTGCTGGTGAGTCTGCTTCTCCAGGTACTCGTGCGTTTGCACCTGCTGGTACTGCGTCTACTGAGGCACTGCACACCTTCACACTGGACTCCGGTGCTTCCCGCTGTTTCTTTCGTGACCGCACGGCCCTTGAGCAGCTTGCTCGGCCGGTTGCAGTCTCCCTCGCTGACCCCTCTGGGGGTCCGGTCATTGCGACCTCCTCCACTGTCCTCCCTTGTCCTGCGGTCCCGTCGGGCACACTGTCAGGTCTCTACCTCCCCTCGTTCTCTACGAACTTGGTGGCGGGTAGTGCGCTCCAGGACGGGGGTGTCCACCAGTTCACCCCTGCCTACGAGCGCGTGACACACTGCACGTGCGCTCGGACGGGTCGCCACCTGGCTACCTTCACTCGGCAGCCAGGGTCGGACCTGTACACACTGACCACTGAGTCCCCTCAGGTAGCTGCGTCTGCGTCTGCGTCAGGTCAGCTGTCTGCCCCCTGCTCGTGTCGCTCTCTAGCACACGAGACCGTCCTCTGGCACCACCGCCTTGGTCACCCGTCAGTGCAGCGCCTTCGTGCCATGCACAAACGGTACCTTGTCTCTGGTCTTCCCCGGGTACTCCCTCCCCTCCCACCCTCGCCTGCTCCTCCTTGTCTTCCTTGTGTCGAGGGGCGGCAGCGCGCCGCTCTTCACTCCTCCTCGTTTCCCCCGACGACTGCTCCCTTGCAGACGCTCCACATGGACGTGTGGGGCCCAGCCCGCGTCCGTGGACAGGGTCAGGAGAGGTACTTCCTGATCGTTGTTGACGACTACTCGCGCTACACCACGGTCTTCCCCTTGCGCACCAAGGGTGAGGTCCCTGATGTTTTGATCCCTTGGATCCGCGCTTCTCGTCTCCAGCTCAGCGAGCGGTTCCACTCAGACTTTCCTGTCTTGCGTCTGCACTCTGACAGAGGTGGTGAGTTCTCCTCCGACCTCTTGGCAGCCTACTGTGCGGAGCACGGCATCCGCCAGTCGTTCACGCTTCCGGCCTCTCCACAGAAGAATGGGGTTGCGGAGCGCCGCATTGGCTTGGTCATGGAGGTCGCTCGTACCTCCTTGATCCATGCGGCTGCCCCCCACTTTCTGTGGCCGTTTGCGGTCCGGTACGCTGCGCATCAGCTCAACCTCTGGCCCCGTGTCTCCTTGCTAGAGACCTCGCCCACACTGCTGTGGACGGGGGAGGTTGGCGATGCGTCGCGTTTCCGGGTCTGGGGATCTCGAGCTTTTGTCCGCGATACGTCCGCGGACAAGCTCTCCTTCCGCGCTGTTCCTTGTGTCTTCCTTGGCTTTGTCCCGGACGCGTCTGGTTGGCAGTTTTACCACGCCACCTCGCGCCGTGTCCTGCCCTCTCAGGACGTCACTTTTGACGAGTCGGTGCCCTACTACCGCCTCTTCCCCTACCGCACTGCCCCGCTCCCCCCCCGCCTCTCTTCCTCGCGCCAGGTGCTGCTGTGGTAGACCCCCTCCCCCCTCAGGGTACCGCTCCCTCAGGTGTGTCCTAGGTAGACCCGGTTGAGCCTGTCGAGGTAGCTGTCGACTCTCGTCCTGCTAGGGGTGCTGAGCCTGAGCGTGCGGAGCCTGGGGGTGCGGAGCCTGGGGGTGCGGAGCCTGGGGTTGCGGAGTCTGGGGGTGCTGAGCCTGGGGGTGCGGAGCCTGCTGGTGCTGAGTCTGGGGGTGCTGAGTCTGGAGGTGCTGAGCCTGGGAGTGCTACACCTGGAGGAGCTCTCTCCTCACAGCAGCTGCGTGAGTGGTACCTACTGTACTGCAGCCTCAGGAGAGGTGCTTCTGGAGCTAGGAGTGCTGCTGGAGCTGGTGCTAGTGCTTCCCCTCCTAGGCGGGAGCTGCCCTCTCCCCAGCGGCTCCGAGAGTGGTACGCTCGGCGCTGCAGTCTCCGGAGTGGCGCTCCTAGTGTCGCGGACCCTGGTGCTGGAGGTGCTGCTGCTGCTGGTGGTGCTGCTGGCACTACTGGAGGTGCTGCTGGTGCTGGAGCTACTGGAGGTGCTGCTGCTGGCGGTGCTGCTGGCGCTGCTGGAGGTACTGCTGGTGCTGGAGATGCTGGAGCTGCTGGAGGTGCTGCTGCTACTGGTGGTGCTGCTGGTGCTGCTGGAGCTGCTGGAGGTGCTGCTGGTGCTGGGGCTGCTGGAGCTGCTGGAGGTGCTGCTGGAGCTACTGGTAGTCCTGCGGGTGCTGTAGCTGGAGACCCTGGAGCTGAGCCTACTGGTGGTGCTGCTGGTGCTGGAGCTGCTGGAGGTGCTGCTGCTGGCGGTGCTGCTGGCGCTGCTGGAGGTACTGCTGGTGCTGGAGCTGCTGGAGGTGCTGCTACTACTGGAGGTGCTGCTGGTGCTGCTGACACTGCTGGAGGTGCTGCTGGTGCTGGTGGTGCTGCTGGTGCTGCTGGAACTGCTGGAGGTGCTGCTGGTGCTGAGGCTGCTGGAGCTGCTGGAGGTGCTGCTACTACTGGAGGTGCTGCTGGTGCTGCGGACCCTGGAGTTGGAGCTGCTGCTGGTGCTGCGGACCCGGGCGTTGGAGCTGCTGCTGGTGCTGCGGAGCCTGGAGTTGGAGCTGCTGCTGGTCCTGGAGGTGCTGGAGCTACTGATAGTCCTGCGGGCGCTGTAGCTGGAGACCCTGGAGCTGAGCCTACTGGTGGTCTCTCTGCTGGTTCTGGCGGCGCTACGCGGCCGCAGCCGTACTTCGTTCCACTCCTTCAGCAGGTTCTTGGTCAGTCGCCTCCTCCCTGTCCTGCTCCCTCCTTAGAGTGTCTTCCGCCAGTCCAGTCGCAGTCACAGTTACCTCCTGCCTTACCACTCCCTGGTCCTTCTCCTTACACTGGTCCGACTGGAGGTCTTACAGAGCGTCGTGAGCCTGAGTCTCGTCCTGCGTCGCCCGAGTCTCGTCGTGCGTCCCCTGTTCGTGCTGCTCACACTGGTCGTCGTGTCCCTCGCCAGCGTCCTCCTGCTGTCCCAGGCACTCACCAGATGGCGCTTTGTCCTTCCTCTGCTCCTCAGCGCGTCCCCCTGCCGTCTCCTCCTGCGTCCTCTCTTCCTACTCTTGCTGACCCGGAGTCTGACTCCCTTCGTGCTGCCAGTCCTACTGTCACGCGTCTCCTGGCCACTGTTGTCACTGACCCTTCCTTTGAGTCCTCTGCTGCGTCTGCTCTAGTAGCTGAGTTAGTTGACTTTGCTGCCGCTTGTCGTCTCGACTACGCCGCTAGCCTTGTCGCTAAGTCTGAGTCTGAGTCTGTCTGTCCTCCGTCCGTCGGGGGTGAGTGTGCTCTTGGCACGGACGTCCTTGAGGACAGGCAGGAGGAGTTTGAGTGCTTTGCCGCTGCTTTACCTCATCTCGTGTCCATGCTGGTTGCCCCTGAGGGAGACCCGGATGCTCCAGACATCCCGACCCCGCGCTCTTACGCTGAGGCGATCGCGGGTGAGTACTCCTCTCAGTGGCAGACAGCCATGGACGCAGAGATGGCCTCCTGGAAGTCCACAGGCACCTACGTCGACGAGGTTCCCCCACCTGGGGCGAACATCGTCAGTGGCATGTGGATTTTCAGGGTGAAGCGGCCGCCGGGTTCTCCGCCTGTCTTCAAGGCGCGTTACGTTGCACGAGGCTTCAGTCAGCGAGAGGGAGTTGACTTCTTCCAGACCTTCTCCCCGACCCCGAAGATGACCACTCTTCGGGTTCTGCTGCAAGTCGCCGCTCAGCGTGACTACGAGCTCCACTCTCTTGACTTCAGCACTGCTTTCCTACAGGGCAGCCTGCACGAGGAGATCTGGCTGCGCCGCCCACCTGGCTTCACTGGGTCGTTCCCTCCTGGTACCCAGTGGAGCCTCCGGCGGCCAGTCTACGGTCTCCGCCAGGCGCCGCGTGAGTGGCACGACACACTGAGGACTACACTTGCGGCTCTTGGGTTCGCTCCTTCTACTGCTGACCCGTCGCTGTTTCTACGCACCGACACTTCGCTGCCGCCGTTCTACATCCTCGTGTACGTCGACGACTTGGTCTTTGCCACTGCTGACACTGCGGCACTCGCCCACGTGAAGTCGGGGCTGCAGAGGAGACACACGTGCACAGACCTGGGTGAACTGACAAGCTATCTTGGCTTGCGGATCACCCGGGACAGAGCACGGCGCACCATCACCTTGACTCAGTCACACATGGTGCAGCAAGTCCTTCAGCGTTTCCGCTTCACGTACTCCTCGCCTCAGGCCACTCCTCTGCCTACCGGTCACTCGCTCTCAGCTCTGCCTTCGGATGAGTCCGTAGAGTCGAGTGGCCCGTATCCAGAGCTTGTGGGCTGCCTCATGTACCTGATGACCTGCACTCGACCTGACCATACCCTCTTAGCATCCTTGCACGAAGGCTGCCGGAAGAGCGAGTGTTACACCGCTCTCCTCCGGAGCACCAAGGTACTACACGCCATGGGCCGGCCCGAGCAAAGTCGCTGCGACGGCACCAGGCGCGCCAAGAGGAGAGGAATCCGAATCCCCTCCACCCGCCCCCGTTACGCAGTCCCCACTCGCCTCACCCTCGTACCAATTTCGGCAACTCCACGCTTCTCCTGTCCGGGGCAGGGCGGTCTCCCCTCTCGCCGATCCTTTGCGCGGGCATCAGGCAGGCAGTTATGCCAATCCCTTCCCTGACCTCCCCTTTTCCCGCCAGCGTGATAGTGTGAGGGCACACGGGACTGCTGCAGAAGACGTTGATCCCCTTGGCCAGAGGGGGGATTCTTCACACCCTTTTCCTCCACTCATGGGTGCCCTAGGTGAAAGTGCGGAGCACGAGTAGTTTGTTACACGGGAGGAGTTCCAGGCGCTGCGGTCTGAGATGTACGCCATGTTTGCACAGCTCGGCCTGCGTCGTGGAGTACCTGCCAGCTATGCCGGCGGGTCGGCAGCCCTGCCTATGGCTGGTACCCCGCCGCCGATGAGCGCCGTGGACAAGGCATGAGTGCTAGTGTTGCAGGAGACAAACCCATTCCCGGTATGTGGCGGGCCACATGGGGCGGGTTGGGGTTGACGTGGCAACAAGGGCGGGGTTGGGGCTGACGTGGCGGTTTGGAATGGTACACGGGAGCGGCGCGTGACGAGGCGACGCGTGTCAGGTGGGTGGGGGGTGACGTGGCATGGGGTGGGAGGGTGTGACGTGGCACGTGGGGCTGGTTGTTGGTGGACGTGGCGGATGCAGGAGGGTGTGACGTGGCACGTGGGGCTGGTTGGTGGACGTGGCGGATGCAGGAGGGTGTGACGTGGCACGTGGGGCTGGTTGGTGGACGTGGCGGATGCAGGAGGGTGTGACGTGGCGGAAGGTGAGGGTGGGGGATGACGTGACAGATGCAGGTGGGTGTGACGTGGCGGAAGGTGAGGGTTGGGGATGACGTGGCACCCTAAAAGGGTACACGTGAGCGGCGCATGACGAAGCGACGCGTCTCAGGTGGGTGGGGGGTGACGTGGCTCTTGGTGGGGGGTGTGACGTGGCAAGTAGGGCGGGTTGTTGGCGGATGCAAAAGGGTGTGACGTGCCGGAATGTGAGGGTTGGGGCTGACGTGGCGGTTTGGAATGGTGCACGGGAGCGGCGCGTGACGAGGCGACGCGTGTCACGTGGGTGGGGGGTGACGTGGCATGGGGTGGGAGGGTGTGACGTGGCACGTGGGGCTGGTTGTTGGTGGACGTGGCGGACAAGGAGGGTGTGACGTGGCACGTGGGGCTGGTTGGTGGACGTGGCGGATGCAGGAGGGTGTGACGTGGCGGAAGGTGAGGGTGGGGGATGACGTGACAGATGCAGGTGGGTGTGACGTGGCGGAAGGTGAGGGTTGGGGATGACGTGGCACCCTAAAAGGGTACACGTGAGCGGCGCATGACGAAGCGACGCGTCTCAGGTGGGTGGGGGGTGACGTGGCTCTTGGTGGGGGGTGTGACGTGGCAAGTAGGGCGGGTTGTTGGCGGATGCAAAAGGGTGTGACGTGCCAGAATGTGAGGGTTGGGGCTGACGTGGCGGTTTGGAATGGTACACGGGAGCGGCGCGTGACGAGGCGACGCGTGTCAGGTGGGTGGGGGGTGACGTGGCATGGGGTGGGAGGGTGTGACGTGGCACGTGGGGCTGGTTGTTGGTGGACGTGGCGGATGCAGGAGGGTGTGACGTGGCACGTGGGGCTGGTTGGTGGACGTGGCGGACAATGAGGGTGTGACGTGGCACGTGGGGCTGGTTGGTGGACGTGGCGGATGCAGGAGGGTGTGACGTGGCGGAAGGTGAGGGTTGGGGATGACGTGGCGGTTAGAAATGGTACACGTGACCACTGCGCATGACGAAGCGAGGCGTGTCAGGTGGGTGGGGGGTGACGTGGCTTGTGGTAGGGGGTGTGACGTGGCAGGTGGGCCGGGTTGTTGGTGGACGTGTCGGATGGCGCAGGGTGTGACGTGGCAAGTTCAAACAGTGTTGCTAGTCACCATCCCATGGTCACGCGGCCACCCTCATAACTGCTGGTTTCTCTCTCCCATGTCGTGTTGTATACCTTACACCCCTGCGCAGAACAAAGCCTACTTAGTGTGCTCTCAGCTCATGTTTCAGAACCCGCCGGAGAAAATACAGTACTACCCTGCACCGGAGGAAGTGTTCGAAGCGTTCTCTGTCCACTTGTCTGCAGAAGGGCTCGAGGCAATGAAGTTGCTGTGGTTGCACAATGACAAGTCAACCATGGGAGTCTTCAACCACCAGCTGTCCTCAACAAGGTCAACTATCAACTCCACCCTCAGGCCAGCAGCATACACCGGCATGGGCCTTGCCGATTACAGCCATCTCGTGGATAGCCTGCCCACTGAGCTACACCCAACGACCTGGTTCGACGACGATCAACTCCTAGCCGAGTACAGAGATGGTATGTGCAGTGCAACTCGAAAACACAATATGCCCTACCATATGCCCCTTGGCAGCTACATATCACCGTACGATGTGGCTCACCCTGACTCTCATCCCCCCATTTGATTTTTCTACAAAACCCTTTCCAACCCATACCCTCCCTGCCAAAAAGCAGAACAGTGGGCCCTCAACTGGCACTTTGACAAGGCCACCGGGACACCCTTCAGCAACCCCTTGTTCGCTTATGCGTTCAAGCTCTCCTTCAAGAGGGGCGGGGCGGTGTTCACCAAGTTCAAGAGCCGCATGGTGGCATGGGGCCTGTTTTTGGTAAGGATGTAGATATGTGTTTGTACCCCCATGCCTCATCCCCTTAACCCCTTGCCTGTACTTCAGCTAAAACCCTGGTCGATTAGGCCTTTGCAGTTACGTAGATAGTGACGACTGTATCACCGCTTTCAGTTGCCTCATTTACCCGTAACATACCCTCCTCATAAACCATCCACCCAACCCTACACCACATTGCAGATCGAATGGCCCCTTCTGCAGGATAAGCGTCGCAGGCGAATCAGTAGCCAGCCGGAGCAGAACAGGCCAGACTACCAGGAGTGGTGCGAAAAGGTCAAACAGATGATCCATTTTGCTTTCGTGGAGCGGAGGATCCCCCACGATCCGGCTATGGGTGCGTTCGTCTTTCCGAACAAGTTCCTCATCGACGACGGCGACCTTGGAGATGTCGTCCTTGCCCACCGGGCGCTTTCAAGGCCCGCCAGTGCGTAGGCTATTTGACCTGGTGCTAAGACTGCTTGTTGCTAGAATGCTGAATAATGGTTCTTGTAAACCGCAATAATAAATGCAATTTTGAAATCCTCAATATCCAAAATGAACAAAAACAGAATTTAGTTTTGAATAATTTAATCACGAATTTGCAACAAAACGGATTGCGCCCGAATGTCATCCGGAAAAGCTCGCGTGCCAAATTGGAACTTGAACCGAGCCAAACCTTGTCGCGAGATGTGTCTCGGAGCTCCTATCAAATGAATCCAACCGTCGGTCCAAATTGGCTCCGGATTTTTTTACGCGAAGACAATCGAAAACAAAATTCGTCCAAACTTGGCATAGGGTTTTTGTGATGCTCTCCCCGGGGTCATCATTGAAGGTCCATGGATGCCTGACCGAGGTCAGCCCTATCGAGGGGTCCGAGCTTGTAGAGAGAGAGTTGTAGTTGTGTATGAGTTGCAGCAGCAGTTGTCCCTTTTTCGGTGTAGTAGAAAGGATATCCTCGGCAACATTCTCGTAGCAGGCACGGGGTGCAATCGTTTGCGCGAAATGGTCGCCGAATTCCTCCATTTTTTTCGACATGTGAGTTCAGCAACTATGCGAGGGGGAACAAACGCGGAACTGGAATCTTATGTACCAGATTCAGCGTCATGTTGTCGACCCTGGTGGTTTTTTTAGACCGAAAAAATAATGCGCCGAAAGCCGAGAAGTGTAAGTAACTTGTGACTTTAGGTATTTCAGCATGTAGTAGTTGGTGTATAGTGTCGTTTTTTCTCTTTCAAGGTAACACCTCCACTCTTTGAAAACGATGAAGATCGCCAATGCCTCTTCATCATGAATCGAGCTGCTCAACTCTTCTGTGTGCAGCTTCGTGCTAAGGTATGCAATCAACTGCAATTTGCGTCGGTGATCCTGCATTAGAACTGCTCCGACTGCGTGTTTGCTGGAGTCTGCTCCCACCACGTACTCTTTCTCTGGGTCACGTAAGGTAAACAAACCATACGAAAATGCTCCAGCTGCTGTGAACATCATTGTAGTCCATACTGCAGCAATCAAAGATAACAGTAGAATCTTCATTTTGCGGACGTCCGCACTTGGCTCGCAAATCTTTTCGACCGAGTCATTTTGCGCATGATGAGTGTCATTGTCACCCATCCATCCTTAAGTTCAACACTAGCATCAGGGATTGATACAGAAAATCACGGAACTTGTATTTTTCATGCCAATATCAACGTCAGACCAATCTTTTCAAGCAGTTATTGGAAACAGCAGTCTCGAATGGTGGCGCCTTTTCTTGCATCATCCGCACCGACTCCACCACCATCCTCATCTCTCGCTCCGCCATGCCGTTCTGAAGCGGGGTGTACGTGCAGGTCAGGTCGTGGACGATCCCCTTGCCGTTCACGAAGTCGGTGAACTGCTTCCCGAGGAACTCCCCTCCCCGGTCAGAGCGCAGCATCAGCACCGACTTTCTTGGTCTGTCGCTCAGACACCACCAGCCACTGCAGCAACTCCTACAGCACGTCTGACTTCTTGGCGACCGGCCTCACCCACACGTAGCGGGTCTTGCGGTCATTCAGCAGCAAGAAGTACAAGCTGCCATTCTTTGCAGCTACACGGAACGGCCCGCACAAGTCGATGTGCACGACGGCCAGCACGTCTTCAGCGTTGGAGCCCTAGTCGGGGAAGGTGTGCCGCTCCAGCTTCCCGCCGACGCACAAAACACACGGTGAGTCGGCGCCGGACGCCGACTTGAGGTCCAGCCCTGTGGCGACCTCGTACTTCGCCGAGATCCGGATAGTGCCCATGCCGACGTGCGCGAGCCTCGCATGCAGCCAGTCCGGCGTCGAATTCGTCGCCGAGACGATCGCCCGCAGGGCCACCACCTCCGTCGAGGACGTCGTCGACTTCGTCGAGCAGGGACGTAGGTCGGTGCAGAGGACCCGGCCAGTGTAGGACGCCCGACCGAGGACGTCCCCTGCCGCCGTGACGAGCAACATCCCGTCGCCGTCCTCCTTCAGCTTCATACCGTTCTCCTTCAGCTGGCCGGCCGACAGCAGATTCGCGTGCACGCCCGGGACGTAGAGCACATCAGGAATCAGCACCTGCCTCACGGCCTCCCCTTGCAAAGCGACCATGCCCCGGCCCTGGACGTCCTGCAGCACCCTGTTGAAGCCGCGCTTGTGCTTGACGTCGCCGCTCGGCTGCAGGTCGACGAAGACCTCCTTCGACCCCATCAGGTGGTGGGAGCAGCCGCCGTCGAGCAGGACCACCGCCGGGTTCGCCAGCACAGCTGCCGCCATGGCCTGGAAGTCCTCACTGGCCTCCGGCGCCAGTGAGACGGTCGGCTCCACAACGCCGACCAGCGAGCACGACGCCTCCTTGCCGTCTCGCCCCTTGCCGCCTGCTAAGGAGTCGGCGTCCTTCATTGAGGTCGACTTGTTCGAATGCTTCTCCTTGCGCGGCTTACTCTCCCGGAGAGGGCGACACCCAGCCGACCTCCCTCGGCTGCTCTTGGCGTCGTCGTCGTCCGATTCACTGCGGTCGGGGCACTCGAAGGAGAGATGGTCGGGGTCGCCGCATAGCCAGCACTCCCGACGTCGACATCCTCCTCCTCGACAGCCATCCTGAGCCGACTTCCTCTTGTCGGCGTCCTTGGCCGGTTTCCAGCTACTGCTACCACCGCCACCAGACTGCCCGCGCTGCCCCGGTCGGCCTCCCTGCTTCGCCGGAGCGACGTAGTTCGCCTGTGGCAGGAGCTCCAAGGACCGCTCGGCATCCTGCATCGCCTCGTCCCGCAGGATGTACGAGTTCAGGGAGTCCTCGTTGAGCGTCGCCCGCGTGCTCGGCGGCACCACTGGCAGCCACTTCATCAGGTTATAGATGCTCGGCAGCCCCTTCAGGACATGGGTGACATACGACGCCGTCGAGTACTCCACGCCGGACATCCTCATGATGGCGAGAAGTCGCCGAGCCCGGTTGCAGTAGTCGGTCGCCGTCTCCTGGTCGCCCATCCGCAGATGCATCATCTGCTCCTCGAGCGGGCCGATGTACAGGTCGTCGGTGACCTGGTACGTCGACTCGATGAAGTGCCACGCCTGGTGGCTGGCGTCCAAGTAGTCCCTGCACGGTTTCAAGGCGATCTGCACGCCCGGCGAGCAGCACCGCGAGATGACTGTGAAGGTCAGCAGCTGCACAACGCGAAACTCTGCACGCAGGTCGGAGTAGTTCTTCGACGGTGTCGCCACTGTGCCTCTGGCGAAGCTGATCAGCCCGGCCATCTCCAGCTGGGGCTCGATGGCTTCCTTCCAGGTGAGAATGTCAAGTCGACCGACCAGCAAGGGGTGATCAAAATCCTGTCCGGCGTAAACTTGAAGTAGTCGTAGCTCGGCGCTATCCCGCCCGCAGTCACGTGGGTCGCCGACATCGGCGGCAAACCGCTTCGTCGACCTCCGACGTCGCCTTGCGAGGACCCTGCAGCCGCCGACGACTGCATCCCTCACGCTTGAACGCCGCTGACTTCATCGGCGTGAATCACACCTCGCTGCCTCGACAACGTGCCTCCCGCACTGCTGCCGACTTGGTCACTGGCGTTGACGCCCACGTCGACGCCGCCCTTGGTGTTCACCGGTCGAGGAGAGGCAGGCCGAGAAGGGTGCTCCGTCGCCCACACGGCGCGGATGCCAGCCTCGACGACCGCCCAGGGGAGGTCGCCGTACTCGTTCGCCTCGTGACGTCTCCTCGCGTTCTCCCGCCGTGCCTCCAGGGTGTCCACCACCCCTGCGTCACCTACGGTGCCTACAATGGTGATTATCGCACAACTGCCGGCCTACGAACACAATAGATACGTTGAGAAGTCGGCTAGACTGAAACCTACGTCGCGGTGCCGTCCACGCTCACCGCACCATGCGGAGATAACTCAATCAACGGGAGCTAGGTTACGGGCTAGGCACGGGGCTAGAGTGATCCCTGCATTCGTTCGTTCCTTAGTCGTTTCCAAGTGCTCACACTACTTGCTAGTTCACGGGGAGAATTGGCAAGAGTTTCACAAGGAAATGTTGAGAACAAAGGTAGTAACAACACTGGCATGCAAGACTACATCAGAGCTAGCAAAGATGCTGGTCGACTTCCAGCGCAGCACAGTCGACCACGTGCCAGCACGACTTGGTCGACCGCGCTCCAGCAGAGCAAAGTCGCGGCTTGCCAACGTTGCAAGTCCACGGTGTGCCAACGCTGCAGCAAGTCGGCTGCACAGCGTTGCACCCGCAAAAAAACGATGCACCTAATCGCAGGTGCGTGCAGCTGGTTGGTGCTCCACGCCTTGTCACGAGCACAGCGCAGACGCCTGGTAGACTCCACGCCAGCGACTGCGCCCACCAGCCACGTCGACCTCGGGATACCACACCGAGGTCGGCCTCGCTACTAACACCTGGGCGACGGCCGCGTGCCTCCGCAGAAACCCGTCGCCCGAGTAACCTGGTTGACCGGGCAACCACCCCGTCGACCAGCTCCTCCCGGCGCCCGTCGACCACCCAGGTCGATGACCTCGCACGAGCTCGAGTCGACCACGCACCTGGTCGACCAACTCCACGTCGACCAGTACATCTGTCAGCCGACCACTTTGTCGGCTTCCCCTGGTCGGCGTTACCCAAGTCGACGCCCTCCACCGGTCCCAAGTCGACCACATGAAGTTGGCGCCCTCCCAAAGTCGGCGCCCTTGCAGTGGCCCCTGTGCAGGTCGACCAGCCTCGTCGACCAGCTCGCCCACTGCTGCAGGTCTGCTGCGCTCCTCACACTCGACCACGAAGTCGGCTCCACCCAAGCGAAGACGGGGCCAAACAAAACTCCCGTTAACATGCCCAACTCGAATTCAGACCATTATTTTATTTTGTCCGCCTGGTGCATGATGTCAGGCATCACCACGAGGTAGGGATTGCCCCACGCGGTCCCTGGGACATCCCACTTTCAGAGCACGCACTGGAAATGGGGATGTGGTGGGAAATGGAGGAGAGATGTACGTGAGAGTGGATAGCTAACCTAAACCACAAGTGGGGTGAGTTCAATGGGGCAGAGCACATCTGGCAATTCATGACGGGGCGGGCGAGAGCATAGACTACTCATGGGCCGGGGAAACACGTCACTCACCTCAACAGGGTAGGTAGAGTAGGCCTTGCACGGGTCAGCCTGGCTAGTTGTCGTCCCAGCCGCCTCGTTAACGATCCATTGCTGCTGTTCAGGCGTGCGCGGCGTGTTCCGTGCCTTGACAGCACTCAGATGCTCCTGTTGTAGCACGGGGGTGAGGGATGGCATAGAAAAGGTAAGGGTGGTAGCTATGTGGGTTCTATCAGGCGACCCACAAACGAGAATGTATTTGAATGCGTGCAGATGGCATGTGACCTCACCTTTGCAGCATAGCAGATGCTGCACGGCATCCGCGATCCATGCGAGAGTGTGCAACTGATCTTGCCGCTCTCGGGGTAGTCGCACACCCAGGCGTACAGCAGGGGCCGCACGGTTTGCCAATCACCAAAAGGGTCCCTGAGACGGAACCCGCTGCAAGGAACAGGTAGATTGGCAACAGGAATTCGGGTTACGGCTTTTAGGGAGGAACGACGAGGGGCAAAGGGCCATGCTACATACAGAGAGGGTTTGCATACCATGCAGGTGGTGAGATGATGTCTTAGCAAGATGCAAACCGAGTACGGACCTGGCGATGCCATCAAGAAGCGGCTGCAGCACGGTGATGACGCAACGCTGGAAGAGCATCACCTTCTCCACGGCAGACATTGCAGACGGGGGGATAGGAAGGAGGGCAAGTAGTGTGTGCCCGGCTTTCCCCCATCGCTTGGCCTGGGAGATGTTGGCCAGCGTCATCATGAGCGGCCACGCCTTCTTCCGGTCGTTGTTGCTCATGTGCGTCACATCCGAATATAAGATGATCCCCCCCACAACTTCGGACCAACCGAAGTGTTCCTGCAGTGCACGACAAAGCGGCAACGGACACACGGTTTAACACTCTTGATGCTCTTGACAGATCAGTGCAGCGATGGAGGCATGAGGAAGGATTGGGTTTGGGGTGGCAACGTGGTCTTTCCTTACCTGAGCATCATTCCACCACGTTCCTGTTTCAGGCGTGGTATAGCGACGGCCGCCTGCGTCAGGGTCCTCATCAACACGCGCCTTGAGCTTGAAGCCAGGCGCGTTGTTGGGATGTCCAAACATTTCAGCGAATGCCTGGTGTACGGTGGCGAAGGCAGGTGAGAGGAGAGGCATGGTTAGTGGCGGTGAAGGTGGGTGTACGGTTAATACAAGGATAACTACGTACATGCAAACCCTGTGTGCCTCATCATCATTTCACGGCCTTGAATGCAAAGTCGGCTTACCTGGGCTGAGTTCTGAAAGAGCAAGCGCTGTGGTGGATGACCAGCAATCTCGAAGGTCGCCACCGACCATCCGCGATTGAGCCCTGCCAAGCGCTCCAGCTCGAACCGCTCCAGATCCTTACAGTTCCGGAGCTCCGAGATCACAAGAGGCGCAAGGCCGGGCTCTACGACTAGCTGAAGCAGGCCGTTGATGTCAACCTCGGCCATTCCCATTCCGCCATTCACGCGCCGAACGAAATGCAGCAGCTTCAACGCGAGCGGATTGAGGGGCGTGGCATTGCTCTGTCCGGAGATGATTGTTGGCGGCGCGGCATGACTCCCTTCGGGCCGGCTCTCAGGATGGTCACTCGTGTCAGCCGCAGGAGCCCCTGGTTGTGGTTGATGTTCATCTTCAGGAGGCCCCTCGTTCACGTCGTTGGGAGTTTCGTCAACGTGAGCTTCAGGCACGCGTGGAGGACCGCTCACACTGACGGCGTTGGATGCGTTAGACGCTGTAGGTGAACCGGGAGCGGCTGGAGCGTCCGACAGAATGTCGTGGACGAATAGCAGAGCGTGAAGACCGGCGGTCGGTGCAGATCGCGTGGGCCTTGCCACGGCGGATAGTCCTTGGCAAGGGGTCCGCCGTAACTTATGACCGCCATAAACTTGGGCGTTGGGGAACCATCTGTTGCAGAACTCGCAGACGACGCCTGGTAAAGAGCCCATGTGTTACGGATCCGTTGTAGAGTCGAGAAATCGCCTATGAAGCTACTAGCCGTGATGAAGCTTGTGAACGCATTAAGTACTCCGTTCAAGAAGCCTGTGACAGCTACACGATCATTGCCAATGCGCGCACTGTGGTGGGCGGCTTGTTTCACTGCACGACTGGCACTTGACATTGGCGCTAATGTTTATGACTGGCTAACGATGTCGAGCCGCGTGGTCGTTACCAGGCACGATACAGACCGCCCACCTCACGGGCCGTCTTCCCTACAAGGCGTGTCGCCCCCGTTTAGAGTGGCCACGACGCGAGCAGAGGAGAATGCGGAGGATCTTAAGTCTCACGG